ATCAGTTACACATGTAGTCAAATGGCAGGGTGRTTTGTGCTTTTTATCAAGCAGTTTCTGGTTCAAAATTAGTTGAGTATTCACGGGGAAAACAAAGATTTTGGAGAAGTTCATGTGGAAGAGGATCTTCCTTCCCCACTCTATGGCAAAGAGAGTTATTCGTGAATAGGGTTTTAGTCAAACATATTCTCCATCTTCTCCTGGGCTGGCCAGAGCAACCAAGCTTCACAAGGCWGCCCATCCAAGAGGTCTGCTCTATCTCTTCTGAAAGTCTAGCTGCTGGGATTCCAGAGCAGTTACTGCTCACATTTCTCCAAAGATTACTCGTCTACCCTGTTAAGCCTTTTGTCCTAAACATTTCTTTTACTCTACAAAAAATCCCCCAAATTAAAAAAAAAAAAAAAAAAAAAAAGCCATTTTGTTTTGCAAAATGACATACTCATGTCAAACTGGATGTTTTATTCACATGCTCTGATCACATCCACTACGCTTTACACTTAATATGAACAGGAGTGGAAAGTTCCACATTTGCTTGGGAAAGTCTAAGCACAACACGTAGGAGATGCAAGTCCACATACAGAATGGAAGACCTCACACCAAGCAAACTCCATAAGGCTTAGATTTTGAGTTAATAAATATCTTTCCTTAGAGAGAAGGAGAAAAAAAAAAGGCATTTCCCTCATACTGATAGGCAATTAACAATTTTAAAGGACACTGTCAACAAGTTAATGGCCTTTTGCCTGTAGGTCATCAGTACAAATATAGCCAAGCTCAACAGGGATTAAAAATTGCTCATGCCTAATAAGATGTTTGGTGTCTCCTCTATGAGATGAGTTTAACTGGGCTTGGATCCAGCTCCCATATCACATATCACAAGCTGAAATGGCAGTGTGCTAACCAGCAGACTCAGCACAGATGCCAAGAAGTTCACAGGCTGCAGAATCTAAGCCATCTATCTCTGTTATCCCAGGTTAGGGCTGAAGCAAGCGAGCAGAGTAGTGTGCATGTGTACACGGGTATTTGGGGAGGGAATGCCTTGCTGCTCTTCAGTTGGAAGAATGAACCTTCATTTGCTGGAAAGGCGCAAGTGCTGCCTGTCTTCAAAGCTGGACACCTCCAAGATGAGAAAATCAGCAGGGAACAGGGGAACAAAAATAAAATGTGTGCACTATTTGGCTATATGCAGAACTGCACAAAATCTGTGATTTCTTAGGCAGTCCAGTTCCCACAGCCCAAGAGGCCAATGCTAAAAAAAGCATCTGGCAACCTCCAGACCGAGCTCCTTCTGCATTTGAAAAGCTTTAAGCTCCTATCTGATGAAGGGCTCCAGAATCCCATCTCTGCTGCAGAAACCTCCAGATCTGAAGTCTGGGTTTCCCTACTCTGCAGGGCAGCTGCCCTACATGATCTCCAGGGCTTGCTTAACTAATATCAGCTGCCTTTTGGGGAAGCCCAAAGCGACTCAAACGAGCACCAAACCTGTCATTTCCCCAGCTGCCCACCACCACCTACCTGCAGCGGGTCTGACCAGAACCTCCACATTACAACCCCACAAGGTTGCACCACCACATCCTCCTTCCCTTCCTCCCCATACCGACCCAATAAAGCAACAAATGACATATCGCTCTGCAACGGCACTGCAGAACAAATCAGCACTGCCCGGGCCTGGTGTCACCCGGGCTGCCAGCTAGGTCTGAGCCTGGAAAACAGCTCCCACCTGCACCCACCCTGGCAGCAGCCTTGATGAGCAGAGGCCTTAAACCTGATGTAGCAGGATTTGCTGCCAGGAAAAATGAAGCGTGTTGGCACGGGTTAGTGTGCAGGGACCCCGAAGCAGATCAGCAGCRAGCCCTGCCAGTCACCACAGAGCTGCCAGGGAGGCCGGGTTTCCACAGTTCACCTGCTCTTGTCAATGCCTCTTGCATCTATCCTGAAAACTTAAAAAAAATATATACACACACATACGATAGTAAAAATCTCAGTCAATATACCCTTTTAATTTGCACTAGATTATAGTTTTTTTTATGCAATTACTGTAATTCCATTAAATGACATAATTGCCATTAATGCTTAGAAAACTGTCAATAGAAGGTGTAATTATGCTGTATAAAATCACAAGCACAATGTGCGATGATGCATAATTCCTTATAAAAAAAATCACTCTGTGACTAAAATTAACTTTTGAAATACTTTTCAAATATATTTTGTATAGTAAGAACAATTCATTTCTTACTATGGATTTAAATTCCATGACCAAATTTGTGAGAGGGAGCAAAGCAGGTAGGCAGCAAGCACACGTGGGAGGAAGGAGTAGGAATTTAATTTAAAAGTGCATTTGAAAGATGAGAACATGAGTTTTCATATGCATGAGTGGAAAAAACAAACTGCTTATTATCACACAAAATGACTTACAAGCAGACGTTTCCTAAGGCATGTCTCGCTATGCGGCTCCAGCTTTCTGGACACCAGTATGGGCTATCCACACAGTGTGGATGTTTCAATGGAGAAAAAGGTGTGACAGGAAAGAGGCATGAGGAGTATTGACGAGTATCAGGAAATCTAGGCAAAAGGCTTAAACCAGAAAAACTGGGAMCAAGTTGCCAAGAACAGCACACAGAGTAACAGGTACAGAAGCAGCACCACAACATGGACATACAGGAGGATCTCAGCAAAAGCCCTTCTGACAGTTATCAGTATGGGCAGCATATTTCTGTTAAAACCTAACTTACTGGGTTGAGCACAGTTATGTACTGTACGAAAGTGAAATAACCAGTGATCAAGAAGACCATCAGAGAGCCATTAAGTCTTAAAATTCTCTACAAACCTTGAAAAAAAAACTCCTTAAAACGAGGACACACAGATAAATGCTCCTAATATTTCTATCTATGCACAAACACTACAGGCAACTTTTTCCATATGTGTACTCAGATTCTCAGTTATGCATATCATGYGGTGCTTATTTTGGTACCAGAGTCAGCATAAAGTTTACACTATAAAGAAGTGTAAAACTTATGGTGACTTTCATTCTTCTGACACACTATTTTTTTTTTTAAATTTAAATGTAACATATAACTTGTAGTGGCCTCCTTCACAGTGCCCTGTGCAAATTTCTCCAAAAGTCACATTTTGCTTTTCACCTCACTTCCAATTCAATTCTTTTTCCAAAAGCCCCAAGCTGATTTCCCCTGTACCAAAACAGGCCTGATCTGTGCCCTTGGTGCCTACATGAATGACACAGCTTAAAAGTCATTAATGCAGATGCAAAGCAAGATCTCATTTTAAGGTGCAAAAGAAAACTACTCATATATTCTTGGATGGTCTCCTCTCACCGTAACAGACTAATACAGAAATTTAGCTGGGGATGAAGTATCTTAAAATTGAGAACATGCAAATTGAGAACATAGCAATTTTTCCTATTCACCTGCATCCTGCCTCAGCTATTCTTCTCTGTTTCCCTTCTCTTAATCTACCCTTCTTTTTTCTGTTGTGCACCCAGGAGTAGCAGCCCGCCCTTCTCATATGCCCTAGCTGTCAGCATTAATGGCGAGGGAGGTACTCTGTAATAAAGACTAGAATACAAAGGTGCAAGATGCTGCACTCCTTGCCTATTGCAAGGCTCTGATGAGCACTTATTTTCTTTTGCGTGGCTGGTATATCTGTATATCTGGTAGCTTAAAACAAGGCTTATAGGATTGCACAGCCTGCCTGGTTTCCTCCTCCCTCTTCATCCCTCCTTCCATTCCCCCTTTGCAGGGTGGTCACAGACTACCTGCAGAGCAAAACCAAGGGCAATGCAACTTAACTTCACAAGCGCTTTGGTCCCTATCTCAGCAGACTTCCTAGGCACGTGCTCGGGTTCTTGCTGGGCAGCAGGATGTCACCCCTGGGACTGCACGTCCCTCCCTTTCCACCTCCAGCTTGCATGACCACACCAGTTCTCTTCACAGCTGTGACACGAAGACAGCGATTTCAGACCACCACGATGGCAAATGCACATCACCAATTCAGCACCTTATGGCCACGAGGCCAAGGCTATGTTTGTTTGTTTTCTTCATCTTGGCACTTTCTGTATATCTTTTTCTGTATATACCTATGTGTATATATATATTTCTGTTTATATTTTTCTGTACCTATTCTGTATATGCATCCTGTGGAAGGGTCCATCAATTAGCACCCCTGCTCTTCAGTGAAACAGACACTTCAAGGCACTAGACAGCAGCTCTCTAACCACTGGGCTCTGGATATGATTTAAATGAGCTACAAACAGAAGAAAGAATACAGAAACACAGAAAACACCCTTATTTCTCTTCTACTCTTTCTTGCCAGCCGTACATCTAAACTGCAGGGTGGAAGACAGCTCGGTATTCACTCTGAGCTTCATTCAACCAGGGATGGCTCCCGTTACTCATCTGTAGCAAATACACTCTCTGAAGGGTTTTCCTCAGAAGAACCTTGAAGCAACTTGCAACTCACAAACAGCAAAAAGGTTGGAAATCTTGGAGATGCGGCTATTATTCTGCTTAATAAACACTCAACTCAAACTTTTCTTTCCCCCCCTCCCTATGCTGGACCACCACAAAACAATTTTTGCAATCTTTAATGGCATGCCAAGCGTTTCAAGCATGAAGAAAATGTCACAGCGCAGAATAAAAAGCAGGCAAAACCTCTTTTGTGCTYGAGTGGATTATGAGAAAACTGCAAATGGGGTGTTTCTACCAAGAGGAAAAGGAAAGAGCTAAAAAGTAGGGCAGGCAGGTAGAGAACCGGGCTTTTTCTTCTCCAAACCCAGCAAAACTCACTGACGAGCCTTTTCCCTTTATCACATAAATATATAAATAAATATATTATTTATTTTTCCTCCTATTTTGGACTCCATGCTCCATCCTGCACGTCGATAGCGGCAAGTGACACGTGGCTTTAAACTGCTGGGGAGGCAGGTGCTGCAACGCTCGAGATCCTAGATCACTTAGCCTTATACAATAAAGAAGAAATCCACTTACCACAAACGCTATCACACTCTTTACCGTGGACTCCCAGAGAAAGCAGCTCCGAAGGAATTGTATTGTATTCCATATTGCCATGGTGATTTTTTTCACGCGATCCACATTTCTTGATAAGATCTGATAAATATTGAGTGGGAGGAGAGGAGGAGAAGGGGAGTTTAATCAAATACTCCAATATTCTACTACTGCTTCAGAAAATGGGGTAATTTAAGCTACAAACGTATGCCGGGGCATATATTACAAATAAAGCTTCTATTTCAGAGACACTCTCCAGCTCTTGTCGGCTTTCTGATTACACCCAAACCTTCTTTCAGAACCATTTTCCTATCTCTCAGAGAAAAAAAAAAAAAAAGAATAAAAAAACAGTAAATTTTGATGCCAAAACTACATAAAACAGTAACAGAAACCTACCTTTATTCCCCTTCAATTTTTACAATAGAGCAGTCGCTCAGAAAAACAGGTAGATAGAATTTAATCAAAACACAGAACCTTTTCTCTACCTGCTTTGGATTAGTCCATAGAAATAAAAGAAAACTACAGTCTCATTACAAGACACCTTCATTTAAGAAAGGATGATGGTCATTGTTCTAAAATGTTCTTTTTAAGCAACTGATTGAGTCCTGCTTTCTTCCTTACAGGACAGAGAAATCTGGCTCTTGTTKTGTTTTAGGTCCTGTGACCTGTGCAACATCTGTGGGTGTCATTTTCCCCACCTCGAATCATGAAGCAGAACTACCAAGATAAACTAGATCAGAAAATTATTCTATGTTATCAAGTATTTAAATAAATACAGGGAAAAAATATACACACAAAGAATTTACACGTGTTCAGTGGTATTTCTATACCTAAACAGGTTTGGTCCTAGAGCCATCCTATGCCAAGTAAAATCTTCCYAACGCACATGTGAACACTCCATCCAAAGACAAACTTTACCTTTTTAGAAAATTTGCGGTTCTCTTCCGTGAAGCGCTTCTCTCGTGGCTTGAATGTTCTAATGCTTGCTTTTACCTTAAAGAAAAGGGAAAAAAACATGTTTTAGCTTTACCCATGCAGCTTTGCATCACTGCTCTTGCTCGAGAGCTTCAGCATCTTTCGTACTTTAGAGTCTCTGGTTGATTGGTGTACAAATATAATTATTTATAATTTATATATATATATATATAAATATATAAATATTTTTATATATAAACAATTTATATTTCAATTGTTTATTTTTAATTTATAAATACATATTTATATCTCATATATTCACTATAGGTGGAAGGACAGCTTAGTGGCCAGAGCACTAGTCTATACCTAAGAGGACCAACACCTGCCTGGGGTTCTGGTGGAAGCTTCTTCACGTCTATGGATCTGCCACCTTTGGAGACCCTTCTGTGCTAGGGCTCTTTGTGGATGTGGACACGGAGGGGCAGTGCCAAATGCTGAGCATGGAGTGGGGAAGCAGCTGGTCCCTCCAGCCCTCCCGTATCCACCACCATCACCACTGCCATCCCCAAGCACTCGCAGGAACGGTCACAGCAGCCTCACCGTGCTGTGAGCCAGCCTACGGCAGCCTTAATAAACAGCCCTGAATTCAATAAAGGGCTGTAGGGGATAAAAACTCCAGACTGACTCAGCCACCTAAAAACTAAGTGCCCCGTGCACGTCCCATTAATTTTCCTGCCAACCTACGAGGAGAACATCATAGGTCAGCTTTTTGGGAAGAAGTAAATGTTGAAAGTAATGTATAATAACCTAAACATTAACTTTTTCTTTTTCTTGCCGTCTGTTCCAAATGGAGCTCTTGTGGACAATAACCCACCCCTGCTTCCTCAGCTATCTATGGTCAAATATCCATGGTCAACGTCACTCCCAAGCTGCCTTGGCGCTGTCTCATCCACCCAGATGGACCATTGCACCACCGGTCCTTTAGAGAAAGCATGAAGCACGACCCTCCGCAGGCAGGTGCGTTTGAGTCGGGACCTTTCCCAGATGGACCTCCTGCTTAAAGGATCGACCCCGCACCACTTGCAGGTTCTGGCATTGCTGACTTCTTGCACAAAGGATAAGCAAAGAGAAAACATTTCCACTTACAGGATTAAATAGGACATCCAGCTCCAAGTAAATTACTCCTTTTGAAGCACGTTCCAAGTCTTTATTCTTCAGCRTGTAACAACTTTGTTTACCGTTTCTAATCTATAGTTTGAGGGAGGATGGATAAAAAAAGAGGGCATCACTATTTTCCCTTCTGTGAGTCACAATATAATTAAAAAAGACACTAAAAACAAACAAATAAATAATTAAATCCCAAAGATATACATGCACACACACACAAAAAAAAAACCTTTCCCAAATTCTGATAATATACTCAAAGCCTGAAATACAAAATGATCATTAGATTAGAGACCTATAAAATTGCAGATTAAATCTCTTATGGTCCAACTTTAATTTACAGACCTTGTACTTTATAGTAGAGCAGTGCAAGCAATAACCAGTTTGAAAATTCTGCCCTGGAAGCCAGTGAGCTGATGGGAAGTAATCAGCCACTGTTATTACCGGTTTAAAATGGAATTTTTCTTCCAAAGTTTCGGAAAAGAGCCATAGTAGCAACTCACCTACCCAGTGCCCACTCCAAAGCACAAACCCACTTCTTAACGCTTACTTTATGGAAAGGTCGTCAAATTATTACCCAGGAAACAGAACCCAGAGAAATTAATCAGCTTAATTACAGTGAGTGTTAATGTAACAAACATTCAAAATAAACTAAATCATGTAAAAAAATCCCCCTGCCTCCAGTATTTCAATGCTGTTTCTATGCTCTAATCTGCCGGTTGGCCCTATCGCACTAAACATCTATTAAAAAAAAAAAAATCCCTTCCCTCACCATTTTGTAAACTATTTGGCTCAAATCAAAAGCATTCTCTCTTCAGAAAGTGATGGCAGAAATATATTTATTATACACAGTAGGATATGTATTGATTAAACATTTGGCTTTTTAGGAAACAGACCAGTTAATTCTAAACAGCAGTAACATAAAAAACTGCAGCTTACCAAAAAGCTACATTCAGGGACTGTAATGATCAAAGATTAAAGATAACAGAGGAAATTTGGGGGCATGAAATTGCAACCATATTTAAAATGGCTATTGCTGCTGTGGCATTTAGAAGAGATGCTCATATAAACCATGGTAGAAAGGAACAAGGAGAGGGAAAAAAAGGCATAATGGGAACCAAGTGATTTCACATGACAAGGGAAAGGTCATTTTCCTTCCCAACGTTGCTCCACCCTTGCGGTACCAAATCGCTCGCCAAGGGGAGATGGCTTTCCTGGCCAGCACTTAAAAGGGAAGGGGGCCCTCATAAAGCCCAAGGTTGCATCCTCACTGGTGTCCAAACAGGAACTCCAGCTTTTTTTTAATGGTCTCATCCAAAGGTTTGCTTAACAGGATGCAGTCATATGTGGGATTTCTTCTCCTCAAATAAGAATAAAAAAAAAGACACAATGCTTGCTACAYTAATCTAGGACATCTGCCTATCAGAAATGACTTAGCTCTTCAGCAGTTTGCTACCTCCAAAAACAGGGGCAAAAAGATAATTTAAAATGATGTTGATTGAAAACAAAACAAAGTTTGTTTGGAAATTAGAGATTTTTGTTTCATTTTCCAGAAGAGCTGGAAAAAAATAAAAGGAAAAAAATATGATTTGTTGAAGGTGAAGGTAAAGCGCCAGATGGAGATGGGTTGTGGCCATTACTCCTCCGGTCCCAGGGAATAACTCCCAACAGGAGCTTTAGCCTCTGCACTGCTTTCAGTGTGCCTGCAGCAAKAGAATGGTGTGTGTCTTTGCATAAATATCGTAAAATCAAAATTGTGCATTCTTCACAAAATATGAATTTGTGGGCTGAATTTCCAAATATTTCAATTACACATTCCTCACAACACCTCATCCTCTTATCCTCAGAGTAATAACTAGTGGAAAGTTTCTCCTTGGAATAGGTTTCTTACTTGCTTTTATATCCAACAACAAGGAAAGAAATGTCACTTGCTGTTAAATTCACATAAGAAAAAGAAACACGGTTACTCCAGGAAGGTCCAATTTTGGCATCACAGCTTTTTGCATCCCTCAAAATTCTTCCAAACTTCGGGAAAAGCCTCTTCATGTACAGAGATGGAGCCAAATCARACATCTGGGTTGTGTCTGCAGGTGCGTTCACACAGTTTCAAATCAGCAAGGAATAACTTCTATTTCAATATTTCTTTGGTCTCAGGGGTGGTTTTTGCTTGGGAAAATTTTAAAAGGATAAGYATCATTGTCCCTGTTCCTGTTATTTTAGAATTGAACTGGGTAAAATGTGTCACGGTGCAGATCCAARCTTACGATCAGCTTTATTTGGCATCTTCAATTCTGACTGGCTTTTCTAGTAAAAAGATGTGCAACTATAGCTCGACCTAAGACTAAACATTCAGTTTCTTCAGGGGAGAGGGAAAATAAAGGAAATAAATAAGAATGGAGAAAAAAAAAAAAAGGCAGAGAAAATATTAAAATGGCATTTCCCCGTTGCCTTCTTATTTAGCTAAGAAACCTTAAAAAAAAAAAAGTCAAAAAAAAAAAATCACAATTTTGGCAACAGGATAACCCAAGTGTGGTATAACAAAAGCTGTGGGGTAATTCTCACACACATGACTGCAGCAAGATTGTATCAGGGGCATGTCTCAACTGTGCCCAGAAGGAAACATCCCAAATGTCTTCTAGTACACTGCATTTTCAGCATGTTTTTCTGGGGTCACAGTTCTGCTCCTCTTAAAGAGTTCAGATTCTTCTCAGTGTTTTCCCCTCTCTAGATATGGCCAATTATGCTACTTTTAATTTAGGAGCTTTTTTCTCCGCCCCCCTCTGGACACTTCTCCAGTCTCTGCTGTTCACAAATTCAATTTAAATGCTCTCSTCAGCTATGGAAAAGATAACAGAAGTCACAAAAAATGCAGACAGGAACAAAATGTACAAAGTAATCTAATTTTTTTGGCAGCCACCTCTTGATAGGTACCTGTTCTTGCATGGATTTCTCTCAACGAATAGACCTGATAGCAGTGTGATATGAACATTGACATATATATTTATGTAAAATGCCAAGGAAAAGAATGGTCTTTCAATCTCTTACATAAATATTTAAACTGATTGTGAAAATGTCTGCAGGTGAGGTCCTTGAAGAGACATAATCAATGCTATTCCTTTATTGATTCCGTTTCATAGCCCATTGCATATTAATGCCTGCATTCTCTGAAAACATGCTMATAGCACAGAACATACTGGGGCTTAGTCACCAACTAATACTGTGATTAAAATCAGGAAAACATGAGGTGGGGGGACAAAAAGAAAAAAAAAACCACAAAAAACACCACAYAGGATTTACACCCCAAGGAAAATTCTGGTAATTGGGGCATTTCCCTGTTCTGAATCAATACAAAAGGAGAAAACATAGGACAAAACATGTTTTCACAGAACAAATCACTCCTCCTTTCATACCACAAGCCTTCCCCTGCACAAGACCATGAGAAGGAAATRTATCATTTGGAGAAAATGCAGAAATTCTTTTGGAACAAAGTAACCCGCCTTGCAGAAGCAACATCTAGCAGAGCTTTAACTCAGCTACTGCCTCATGATAGGGAAGGAAATGGCCAGGAACAGGGGACCACAGCGCAGTCAAGGCTCAAAGTGCACCGAGTTCCTTTCAAATAAATGAATATATTTGCTAAACTCTTCTCACAGATGTCCCCAGTAAAACAAATGTGACTAAACGCAGTATTGATGTAGCCAGCCAATGCTAAATCTATTAAGCAACAACCTTCTGACCGCTTGGGAATTTTAATGAAATCGCAAAAGCTGAGATTGATATGACACAAAACACTGAGAAGACAAGACCCTTACACAGCAAAGGGTATTTTTTCATTGCTCTTGTCTCAAAGAAATATGGTTTAGCATGGGTTTTTTTTTTTACATTGATTTTAAGAAAACTTCACTCTGTAACCAGCTCTGATGTAGATTCAATGTCATATATTGATGACCTGACAGAACAATGCTGGGTTAAACCTCTGTACATCAACAGCGGCGACGTGTGGAAAGGGTAATGGCCACTCTCCAAGGGTAATCCATCTAAAGCAGGTAGGACCCCTGATATTCCTGCTTGAGCTCATTGCTGATGCACAATGTCACACCATTTGCCCTACATAACAAAGATACCTTGYAAGAGACCAACATCTATCCCATCAAAGGGCACATTTCCACAGGAAAAGATGAAAGCAAACCATGTATTTAATCCACATGGTCAAGAATCTTTTTGTTGATAGTGTTGCTTCGCAGCCTAGTAATATATGTGGATTTTCTGCTATATGAAATGTCCATTCATTCAACCTGAACTGCTTGCCCCTCCAAYTTCCCTTTTAACCAACTTTCATGCCATCCAAAGTACTGTGAAAATTTGGATTCTTGACAGAGGGCCAACATATCAGTCTCAGTGAGCAGTTGATGGTCTGGGAAGACTCTCCTTTCAGGAAGGTATCATTTTTTACAGATTTTTTTCCCCTCTCTTCCAGMATTTCTGGTTCACAAGAAGGTAAAAGTCAGAACAGAAATTCCACTTGACAGCTGTCCCTGTTGCATAATTGCAACATTTTCCCTGCTCTCAAACTCTCAAGCTTGCTCCCACAAAAATCTGTTCACTTATGGTCAAGTACTAAGTAATCTCAGTTGTCAGGTGCCTGATCCCTGAATCCGGGCCACACTTCAGATAATTAAGCTTGTGAAAGTCATATTAATTGTTTTTGCTGTATTGTTAGACATTGACCCTTCTTGGCACTTGAAAATAATTCACAGACCTCTTCCTGTTTGTTGGAAAAAAAGAGTGCAGCTGAAATCCACTCTGAGCTGATAATTCTAGGGATAAAAACATTCCTTTCTATGATACAACACTTCATTTGGAGGCCTTTCTACGTGAAGATTTTTGTTATGCTTTGCTTTCGGATTCATTGGAGCATATTATATCCTCCCATGTCTTTAATAACTGGCAACCTCCTAGGAGATGGGAGTCTCCTGAAGCAAAACAAGACAGACAAGACACTTACCAAGAGAAATATGGCTGCTTTTCGTAAGACCTAGACCATAAAGCAATACAGAAGTGGAAAGGTTGGCTTTGATAGTTAGCCTCACAATATCTACAAATCTAACCTTACCCAGCTCTTTCTTAAAGCAGTGAAGTTTTTGCCCTGCTTCTTAATTTTTCAGGATCTCCTTCAGTTGCCAGTTCAAGGACCTGCTTCTTTTGATAAGAGAGTGCTCTGTTTTCCTGAACAGCCTGATAGCTCTTTCCAGCATCACTTCCCGTTTAAAAGTGACTTTTACGAGTGTGGCTGAACAGAGTTTTGGAGATGAGGTCTCTGCTATATATTCCTCATAGGAGGTGAGGAGCAGTTAGATATAAAGAGGAGCCGAAGAAAAAAAAAAAATGGGCTGGTTGACACAGAGGAAGTTAGTTTGGAAATGCAAGTTCCAGATTTGTTTTTCATCCTGCTGAAGGGCACCAAAAAGCAAGTCACTTCTCTCCCTCAATCCCCCCCACCTACCTGCAAAATAAGAGAAAATACCAAATGCAGTGTAATGGTATCAAAATCAACGTGATGTTCTCGGATTTATTCATTGTCTGATATTTTAAAACTACTTATATGTCCCCGTTTTGTTTGTATTTCTTATTTGGTGCATGCTAAAAGCCTAGATCACAGCTGAGGGTGAAAAGAGAGCATGAGTCCAATTTCACTGTCTGAGAGTTTTTGGACATTCACGTTAATGCGTAGTCATGTTGATAAAGGTATACGTGTTTGCAAAACGACACTGCAAGACTGCTGACACATTTAAATAAAAAATCTCTGTCAAATTAACTGAACTTTTCACATCTCTCTAACTAKACTTTATTCAAGGCAATATTTCATTGGGACGAGTTCTTAGCCATAAACGATTTCTGAAGTAAACTTGCCTCACATGCTGACAGATCACAAGGCAAACTTCTGCATTTTTAACTTAACGGGAGAAAAAGGGAAACACACTTTTATTTTCAGAATCGAATTTAATACAAATCAAGGATGAGGCCTGATTACCTACAAGAAATTAAATCTGGGGGGGGGTTGTGAGGTGTCCTTGAGATTGTAACTAACTGTTGTTCCCTTTCAACATATTCACCTAAACAGTTCAAAGGATGTATTCAAATTTATAGCCAAAACGACAGCACAGATTAAAATTCCTATTTCAAGGAATGGCTTGGAAAACTGCAGTTCTCTCTCTGAGCAGACTAAGTTAATAGGTGCAAAATGCTTTTTAATCAGAAGCTGAGAGGATTATATTTATACTAGATTTGTCTGAAATAGGAGGCAGAAAAGTTTGGAAGGGAAAGAAGAAGATCAGTTGGCAAGGCAAAGCATAAACAATTTTTATTTTTTGTCTCCAACCCTGGATGAAAAACCGACACTGAATGGAGTTTGGACGTTACCACACACATGCACTCCCCTCCTCTGCCTTGTTACATGCTTCCTAAGGGATACTTGACAACTGCCTATAAAATCAACAGAAAATCCAAATCTAACATCTTCTCACTGTGAGCCCACACAGCCTGCTGCTGATCGTGCAGACCATTTGGCAAGCGCTGGGTCTGCAGGAGAGCAGCTGCTCTAGCCACTCTCTTCCAGTAACATCAGAGAGATGAGGACTTGGGGAGAAATTAACAGAGCGATCAAAAATGGAATAAAAGATGTTAAGAGTTTTTCCTCCCTGTAAACATCAAATCACTCTCCATGCAAAACTGACTTTAATAGTGTTCTAAAACTGGACRTTTCGACAACTCGGGCCACTAATATAGACAACTGAAAATATCCTCAGCCTCAAAAAGGACTTGGAATCACAGCCTTGCAGTGAAGAGGACCACAAAACACATTGCAGCTCCAACACAGCTATGTTCATGCCACAGACATGCAAGTATGTATGTATGTATGTCACTGAACTGAACATGCTTCTCCTGTTGGAAACACGGGGTGTTTTAGAGTCTCAAGATAGAGATTTTATCCAAGCTGGCTCTCGAAATCCCCCACAGCCAGGCTGCCTGGAGTACTGGTGCAGAATCTCTGCCCAGAATTGCTTCTTGAGCAGAGGATATACAGTCAAAAGCCTAACATTTACCCCTCCTGTTCTCCTATAGTTTAGCCATGCCTTATTCTCAAAATTTCAGAGGCACCCATGTGCTGGAGTCTGGTATAACTAGCAAAAAGCAAGGAGTGGATGAAAACACACACACTTTCCTGCAGMGTCTGAAGCCACATTGCTTTTAACTTGCATGCACAAGAAACACATACTTATGTGCAATAATAACAAAACCAGAGTGCATTACCCTGTTTCTTTACCACTATAAAGCATTCTTTAGGCTGTGATCATATCCTCAGCTGGTTCAAGAGTTTTCCAAGCAGTTTGTTATTTATCTGGAAACACCAAAATCCTTGCAGTTCAACATCCCCTCTCTGATCTTGATTGGTCCCTTAGATAAACTAAGTGCATAAATTTTCCAGGTGACTGTGGAACCTACAGAGCCTGCTTTGATTGTAAGAAATCTGTGCCCTCCCTCTGGAAACTTCCCCATATTCTCATCTCTTCGAGGCTCATACCAATATTGCCTTTCCATCACTACAACTCCAAGACACACTCTAGCCATGGCTATGAGAGAGGCAGACCACAGTCCTTCTGGCAGAGGGGAATACACATTCACAGGGATGTTTCAAAACCATACATCAATTTAACACTATATAATTTCAACCCAGATTCCCAGGGTGCCTCTTCAAGAGCTACTGCTCACAGCATCACATTAAGTATCACCTAAAGCTTCACATTATGCACATGCATTACCTGGATCATGTTATATAYTGCAAGCATGTATGTTCATACAGGGCTCAACACTGTATTAACTGCATAAATACATTGCAGCATCCCTCCCATACAGGGACCCAACTGGAAAACTGACTGTGTCTCAAAACTCAAGGAAATTCCCTGCTCAAGTTAAACATGTGCTTAGCATGATTCCAATGATATAAATGTGCGTGTGCTAGGAAGCAGCTAGACCCAACTACTACTTGGTTACATGAAAGCCAGTGGTCTAGAAAGTTATTCCCAAATTTTAATGCAAAAGTTACCAGAATCTTTTGTGATACTGCATACATACACATGGAGCTGTTTATGTCCTCTTGATCTGGTTTACTTATTCTGTTATTACTCACCTTGTTTCAATTTAAATCAGTCTCACCAAACACAAAGCTGCTTTTCTCCATTTCCCTATTTAATGTTTTTTAATGACCCTTTTATGTTCCCCTCTTTTTAGCTTGGCCTTTTTTGGCCATCTCTGAAAAAAGCTTTAACTCTCCTTAATCTCCAGAGCAACCACTTTCCCCGAGCTTGCTTTGTTTCCAGTTTTGATTTTACACTCCCATGGTAGCGCTCACTCTTCACATATTTGTTTACAGAACAAAAGCCACCAGTCTTTAAAAGCACTATGGATTGGAAAACACCCCTTTTAGGTAATTTTATTCAGCCGTGCCAATAACAACAGCTATCTCTAGTCAATCCTACTGTGATGTGAAATTACTTTCTTGGAGTAAAAAGAAGCAAGATAGAACAAAGACATGCTTAAAATGTTACCTTCGGAAGACGATGTGGAAACATACAGAACAACTCAATTATGTTTTCAGACCTGAATGGCTTATAGTCCTGATGAAGTACAGACACTTCTACGTTTTTCTTTCCAATCAATCAACTTTGTACTAAAATGGGTTGGGAAGGCTTGTTACACTAAGGAGGACTATAAACACTGCCAACTAAGACATATCTACATCACAAAACCTGTTTATCTCTAAATCTGCATTGCTTTGTACGATGAGGGAAAAAAAAACTCAACTTGATCCCAGTGAAACCATCAGTGTTTTAATAATATACCTAGAAAAAATATATGTAGCAAATGTAACTTACAGACAGCAAAGGGATGGCAACTTTTCCAAGAAAATCAGGGGGCTTATCTCCATCTTCATCAAATACTGTTACTTCAAGAACATCATGAATATCTTTAATAGGGCTGGAATGAAGCACACAGAAATAATGTTCTATACACATGCACAGTCTCCTCACAAAGACCTGAGAATACTGTTCTACTAATTAAGTTTGCATTACCTTGGAGTATAAAATGAAGAAAGAGGGGAAAGAGGGGAAAGA